CAAAACAATTTCAGTGTGAAGCTGAACCAGTCCCTTCCGCTAGGCCCAGGAAAGCCACGCGAACAGCTGCACACAAAAGATCCAAGAGTCTGATTTTTTAGGTGTCTCCCAGCAGCGCAGTGCTAGCTAACGCGAGACCGGAAACTCCAAATCCAAAACCCTGTAACATCCTGTAACCCTTAACCCGGCCACCGGCCTCTGATCTCGAGAAGCCGAAGCGGTCGTAGACCTGGGCTGCGAGGCTGCCTTCCACTTTTGGCTACCGACGAGTTTAGGGTGTAGGGGGCCACCCTGATCCTGCCAAAGCCCTCAACTTGTCTAGAGGGCCCCGCCCTGATCTCGCAGATCTACGCACGGCTCGCAGAGGCTCCGGCGATCTTCAGGACCAGCTCGAACCTTGCTTGGGCTCTTGAACTTTAGAAAGTTGTTTTTGCCTCTCGGCTGAGAGCCACTGCACTTTAGGGGCTTTTGGAGCTCGGCTGGGGCTGGGAGGTTTCGCATCTTCAGGTCTCCAGCTCTGACAGTTTCCAAGGCCTCGGCTTTTCGTATTCGGAACCCTCACACACACACACACACAGACACACACACACACACACATATATATATATATATATATATGCGCTTATTGTTGTAATTATTTGGAATATATTTAATAAATGCCTCAGGACGGTTCATGATACATTTTTTGCATTACCCATAATAAGGAAAATACCATAATTCCCATACTTTAGGTTCCATAAGGTAATGCAGGATTTATATCATCAAGCGTAACACTGAACACTTGCAGGCCGGATTTGGGCAGGAAGGTGGTCCTTTAGTGGTGGCAGGGGTCTAATTAACCAGTGTTGCCTGCTTCAGAAATCCAATTCAACACTGCATGGGGCCCCACTCACGGAGCTCCACGGTACCAGACCTGCAGCCACAGCCAGGGTAGAAACTTGATGGCGTTGGCTTCAAAATGGTGAAATTTGGGGTTGCGTGGAAATCTTACCACCCTACACAGGTCCCAACCCCACCGTCAAACCGTAGCATCCCGAAACCCAGGTGTCTTTGGGACTAGCCAACTCGAGGTACCACCATCAAGTACCTCGATTAGAACACATCCACCCTGGAACAGCCCGATGCCATAGCAGCAGAGACATCATGTTCTGCCTTCGAAAGGACTCTTTCGAAGCTATTGAGACAAAGTGACACAGCTTGATGCCCGTTTACGTGCTGCTGCATGTTGTTTTTCACTCTTTTCTAGCTCCGGTTTGCCTACACTGCATCAATGAGTCTGCCTTCTGCTTTCTGCACTACCCCTATCCAGCGAGCACGGAGTTATCCTAGACAAAGGCGAACGCTGTGCCTGTCACGGTCCACCTCCTCGAAGATCTCGTCCAAGGTTTCCCTGCGTCGGCTTTCGCTTGGGCTGTGGGCTTTGGACGGGTTTCTCGGCTTTGGTGGGTCTCGGCGATTTTTAAGTGCCTTGGGCAGCAGAACCAGTCTGAGCCTGAGCTCCAGGCCTGCGCACTTCCCACGTCCCTACTCAGGCTGATGGGGAACCAGTGATCACAACGCTATTGCTAGTGTCATTCTAGTACAGTGTACTATAACTTAGTGTGTATATATATATATATGTATATATATATATATATATATATTTGTTTTTTATTTTTATATTCTATGGCTGCAGAACGGGCTAAAGCTCTAGACTCTAGAGGCTCGGAGAGGGAGGAGTTCCGGCTCAGGGATTCTCCTCGAAAGGAAGTAGCTGGAACGACTCGTTGCGTCCTGCACTCGCGGCAGGCTCTCTTAAGAAAAGCTCTGGGCCTGCGGAAAGATCTGCGGGCTCCGAGCAAAGTAGGGAAGGCTGCATGCCCTGCATTACAGTTCTTGAACGACCCTCCCCCTCAAAGGGACCCTTAAAGGACCCCAAACCGCAAAAGGAGCCCTGCAAGGAACCCTTAAAGGAACCCTTCAAAGGTACCCAAGGCCTGTTCACAGAGTAGCCCGTGTCCCAGAGGAGGCGGCGGAGCTCGGACTTGTCGATGGAGCCTGGCAGCTTTGTTTACGAGAGGCTCCTTTTTCTTAGGTTTTGGGCCCCTTTTTAGGGTTTTCGGCGCTCACACTCGGACGGTTTAGGGTTTAGGGTTTAGGGGTGGGATCATGATAATAAGGAGGCCTAAGGAATAATATTGGTAATTATTTCGGCTTCTATGTTACCTGAAACACTGGGGTTTGGACTCTCGCAGGGTTCGGACAAGCCAGACGAGGTCGCTGGGTTCGCAGTCGGTAGACACAAGGCATGACAGAGGCAGCACAAATCCGCAGTACCTGGAAACAAAGTGGCTTGGCATAAGCGTTCAGGGTCTAGAGAGGGTAGGACGGGACCTAGAAGAGTTCAATGAGGACTTAGGGTTTGGGGCCTTTAAGGCTTCTGTTCCTCTCAATCTCGCAGGCAGACAAGCAAAAAAAACTGTGGCTACCTGTCAACTGTAGCCAGTACCAAGATTTCAATGCAGCTGTCTTTCGTTGTGCCTTATTTCCCCTCGAACCTACCAGTAACATGCTACAGCCCCACAACACTAGACCCAAACCATGCGTAGCGATCCTCACGAACCCCTCCAAATTAGGAACCCTTGCAACTGAAGACCCAAGACCATAGACCCTTGATCATCCCAAACCTGCAGGACCCAATCGCAGCCTGAGCCATCTTCGTCTAGCTGTTCGAACTGCGCCTTTAGAAAAGCGCTTTGGCTTCGGGTTTGTCTATGGTGTTCTTGGGAGCTTCAAGAAAATCATCATGTTCGTTCCTTCTGGGAAGAATATACTAGATGAAGGTGTTGAACAGCTGTGAAGAGAGAGAAGAGTGTTCAGGAACTGCGTGGCTCTAGGTTTCAGGCATATAGCCTGGGCTCAGTGTACAGGCTAGTAGTGTGAGCTTAGGGTGGCGCATGTGTCCTCATAGCCCATGAAAGTGTTCCCCAAACTTAAGCAAAATCACTTCTCTCTTTTTGTTCCCCCAGAAACTCCAAACCGGCTGGGTTGGCCTTGATCTGCTGCGCGCGGTGCACCTCGAAGTGGTGGATGACCTTGTGAATTAAAGCTTGAAGAACTTCTGGACGTTTTGGAGAATAGGGGGCGCTAGTCCAAGGACTTATATGACATAGTGCTTGATTGAGACCCGAGACTGTGAGATAGACCAGGAGAGCTTTTTGCACTTGTGACGCTCAGGCCGGTGTTCTCCTACTTTGGACGTTCATTCGATGGTATCGGAAACATCGCCACTTGTAGGCCGTATACTGACTCATTGCTACGGAGCTTGTTTAAAGTAGTCACCGTGACGAGAACAGCATGGTAGATATCACATTATCTGCTGCATATCCGGTTCTGTAATAACTGCAATACATACACATCTTGAGCAAGAACCCAGCTTCGCACTCAAGATTGTTCTAAAAGGCTAGTGTGACTCGTGAAAACCTTCAACAGTAACAAATACACGGGTTGGGGAGCCGTAGTTTCAAGAGCCGCAGCACGGGAGGTTTGGCCGCTTCCCGAACCATGAGATTTACGAGAGTGAGTGGAAAAGACCCGGCCATCATTCGTAGATCCCTAAGATGCCGATGAAGGGAATACTTCAAAGAGCCGTAGTCCCGATAACTAGTCTCATGGTTCTGCTGTTGTCGCCTGCACCTTCGACCTGGTGACCTTGCGCCTGACCTCTTGTTGGCGCAACTCGTTCTGCAATTGAGGCCGGCGGCCACGGCGAACTCATCCAATGCCAGCGGCTGGTCCATGGAGCTTCTGTAAAGCAACGTTGTCAGCGAGTCCTCCCGAGCAGGGGCCTCTCGGCCTCTGGTGCTCCGGCACTTTTTTTAATGACGGGGATTCTTGCAAGGCTTAGTGTGCAGTTTGGGGCCAGGGACGTTTGGGGTTCAGGGTTTAACTCTTTTCGGAGGACGGCAGAGTTCCAAAGCACCCCCTGCCCAGCCCAGCCCCCGATTTCGCAGGACCTCGATGCGCTTTGGGTCGGGGCTGAGGTAGCTCAGCGCCTGCAACACAGGCTCTTGCTGGCTTCAAGCTGCGCCCCTACACTCAGACACCACTCCCAGACAGGCATGGGACCCTTGAAGTCGAAGCCTGCAGTCCGAAGAGCGCATGCGGGGGCTTTCGGGTTTGGGCTTCAGGGTGGCTGTAGGGTGGTGAGCTCTCAGACCACGTCCGGCAGGCACCTCCAAGGCGCGGGGCAGGCGGTCAATGGGCAGACCTGGCTACGGCAGGCGAATCAAAACCCTGCAGATCCTATCCCGGCATAACGAGTGCTACTACATGCTACTACAATCTGCAAACCCTGGGGGCAGGAGCACGATCTCTCTTTTCGCCATCCTTCCCGGTCGCTCACTGGGCTAGAATTTCGCGGAGCCTCCAAAAGGGGCTCACAAAAACCAGGCGTCCTTTCTGCTCACTTTGAAGGCGTTGCAACGGATCAAAGGCCACTGCCCGCTCCGGAGTAGGAGCCTCAGAGGGTTGGCGCTGAGGCTTTTTACTTTTTCATATTAAACTTTGTAACTGTTAAATATTTTCATTATTGTTTTTGCTATATATATATATATATATAGAAAAAATGTGTATTCGGGGTCTGGCTGTGGGGTTTCCTTGGGCTGTGAAGGTTCTTTATCATATGAATCCTACTGTTATGGGGTTATAGGCCCCAAGTGTCTTAACCAGGTTCCTACATTGACTCCAAGATCTCATCAAGAAAGAAGCCCGATTCGGCGTCCTTGCACACCATCGTCTAGGCATATGCCAGTAGCCGAGGAGCCGACTGGGCGGATCCAAAACCCCCAACCACCCTGAAATTAGCCTGCACTACAACCTTGGACACCCAAAGTCACCAAGCCCTAAACCTTCAAGGAGGACGCCCTGTACATACACAGTAATAGGGCCCGATTTCACACTCATGGCCATGAAGCAGGGGCCCACAAGCCCAGCTGGAAACAGTCGGACACAAAACAGATTCATCTGCCTAACGAAACCGAAAACAGAGACAAAAACCCCCCAGGCTTCGAGGCAAAGGGGCCGTAGAAGAAGACCGCCAGGAGGCCGACGGCTGCGGTGCCCGCCAGCAATCCTTGGGCTCCCCGGCTCCGCTTCATGCTCTCTTAGGGCTTTGGGGCTCTTCCAAGGTTCTTGAGGCGGGGGTGGTGACCTCCTGCCCAAGGTTCCCGACTAAATCCCACCGAGACTCCGAGGAACACAAGCGGAAATCGAGTTGGCTCGCCTCCGGTCAGGGTAGAGCTTGATGTCGGGTAATTTCTGGATTTTTCTATGGGGTGCTTTACGGTGCCTTATCGGGTGATCTGAGGGGCCTAGGGCTTCTGTGAGACTTTCTTGTCAACCCTAAAGCCCTACAGGCCCCTAGGCCTCCGGTCGCGGCCATGCTCACTTGCACCGAGCGGCCCTCCGCCTCCGGTCTAGTGACTTTAACACGGCTTTGCAAATGCTTTGAAAGTCTTACAAGGCGTTCATGAGAGCTTTCAGGTGGTCTTGTGAAGGTCTTTGGGGTCTTGTATTAGAACGGCTGTAGATGCTTTAGAGTGGCCGTTAAAGCGAGCCCTTTTTAAAGCAACCCCCGGTCCCCGACCGCCTGGAAGCTGGGCGCCTGTGCGAAAGCTCCCGGAGCCTCCTGCGATGCGGTGGTCCGGAGCGTCTGGGGGGCGACGAAGCTCTCACCGGGCAGCAGGACGTACCTCGGGGTCTGGGCCACTGGGCGCAAGGCTTCTCAGGACTCTGAGACTTTTGCGGCTTAGAGTTTCTGTTCTCGGGTTTGAGGGTTTCGACTCCTACACTCGCACGAAGGCAGGCAAGGATTCATGAGGTCGGGGTTGAGGGTTTGGGGTTCTCAAACAGAAACATGCCTGAAGCTTCGCTGCTTTTTTGGGGCGGGAGTGGTTATCATTATCCTGTTTTTCACACACATAAAAATTCTCATGGTTCCCTCGAACGTACTGAAAACAAAACTCAGCCAGAATGCAAACCTGGACTATCACAGCAACCCGTACACTAACCCTTTTAGAAACCCTTCTAGAAACACTTGTAATTCTCCAGGAAGGTCCCAGGCGCAGGGCGCAGGCCACCAGGGCCACCACCAAGAGGTTGGCACTGCGCTTTGCCATGGCTAGGAGATGAGTGGGAGTGCTGCTGCCGCGTTGCTGGGAGCTCGAGCCAACTCCACCAGAAAAAAAGTGAAAGTCGGCTCGTTTCTTGGATTGCTGCATGCCCGCGCTTGCACTTATTTCTCACTGGTGGTGATGAGAATCTAGGGTGTGTCACACTCTGTGTGTGTGTTGTTGCTTGGAACAGATGTCGCTGCCAAATTACATTTTCCACGGTTGGGTGTATATACACCGGCAAGCTGGGATCTTAATATCAAGACAACTGCGAAATTCTCAAAACCCTCAACCCCCGCATCCTGAGTTTCAGCAGCTTCAAATCGTTGTCGGGGCTGCCATTGCCGCTGTTCGGCGGGTACTCCATGGAGGAGTGTGTCGCCTGAACTTTGGCATTCCTTGCAATCTCCCGCACCTGCCAATTGAGTCTGTGGCTCAAAGGTTTAGATGTTCTGTGTTGGTGCTATTTTCTGTCAGCCTGGTTAGCCTTAAGAACTCCACTTAGAAGGCACCAGGTGACCAGCAAGATGCAGCATGCCGACTCTCGGGTTTGGCGTTTATTGGTTGGGCTTGCTCCTTCGAGGTTATGCTACAGTGCCCTTGTGAGCAGAACTGGGCCAAACTCTCAGCGACATGAACCTATGGCCATGCCGGAGCAACCGCAAGCCCAAAATCCTCAACCCCCTCGAGAACCCCACTCCGATTCCCTATTCCGCCAGATGTCTGCAAGTCCCATAAGAACTCCCGTAACCCAAACTGCTAACAAAAATAGCCATCATCATCAGCAGCGTTGTCATTACAATGATACGAAGTCTCACAATGAGAACAAGAAGAAATATGTATTATATAAGCGTATACATATATATACATATTTATTGTATATATATATATATATATGTAGAGAGAGAGAGAGAGAGAGAGAGAGACAGAGAGAGAGATACACAAGAAGAACAGATTTTGGACAACAAGTCAGCAGCGGCCTCTTTCTGAAGAGTCGGGTCCGGCTTGCTTCGCGGACTGCCGTCCTCGTCGACGTCCTCCTGTCAGAAACCAAAGGCTTAGGGCTTAGGGTTTAGGGTTTGAGGGTTTCAGGGTTTCCGTGTTTAGTGTTTTAGTGTTTCGTGTCAAGGTTGTAGGGTTTGAAAGATTCAGTGTTTAGTGTTTCAGTGCTTCGCGTCAGGGGTTTAGGGTTTACGCTCTCGCAACTCGGACAGGGTTTAGGGTTTGAGGGTTTTGGTTTTTGGTGTGTAGCGCTCTAGTGTTTCGGGTCAGCGGCATCCACAGTGTGGCAAGCCAGGCAAGCGCATCTGGGGTTGCGAGTTTATCGAGCTCAGGTGCCAGGCTTGAGGTATTGAAGCTGGTGTTTAGCCACCAGTGTCGAGCAGTTTGTGGTGCAGGGGCGAAGGGATCAGGGATCTGTGCCCTTTTGCGTTGAAAGCCCGGGGTCTTTCTCTCACAAGAAGCCCCATCTTTGGTCTTCCAAAGTCCCTAGCAACCCTAAACCCTTTCACCCTTTTACCCTCAAACCCAAGTGTTTCGACTTGTTAAGGATGTAGGCTGCCACTCGCAACTAGAAACCTTGGTACACATCTCAGGGCATACTAGAAAAACTCACATGGGCTTCGTAAGTAGGATATAGATAGACTTATGCGTATCCTAATTGCCGTCCAAGCTTCCTAACGATCAATAATGAAGCTTGTTCCAGCCCTTAAAAGACAGCACTAGGAAACCCTCTTCGAGACACCCATGCCCATATGAACCCCAAGGAAAACACCGAAACAAAAGCTATCAAAATAATACTACAAACAACCACAAAAACCCCTATTCAGAAATAGTCAAAGAGAAAACACCTGTGGCGGGTGCCAAAAGCAGACCGTATAGAAGGGTCTATGAAATCCTTGCGAAACCTGATCACCAGAGCCGACGCCGGTCCCACCTCCACGGGGAGCAGGTCGTCATTGCCGCTCCGAGCGCTCTTCGGCGACCTCCGTCTGGCCCAGGACTTGGGAGTTTCCGAAAATAGACTTAGGGGGGTTTAGGGTTTAGGGTTTAAGGGTTCCTTTAAGGGTTTAAGGTTTAAGGATATGGGAGTTTCCCAAAATAGGGGACCCTAATATAAGGAGGAGGAGGAGGAGGAGGAAAGTGGCCCACAGATGTTACTGCGGCCGTCAACCCCCTTCCCCCCAAGCATCTCAGAGCAGCTCCGATGCCGTCATCGCCGCTCTCCGCGAGGGGTTCGAGAGGGCGGGTAAGTAAGCTAGCCAAGCTGCACAAAGTAGACAAAACCGAAAATACTGAAACGACTCCCCTAGAGCCCGAGTGAAGGAGGAAGATGCTGTAACAATGTGTCGCACGGGAGTGACCCGAACCTAGTGCGCCGGAGCGATACACAACGACGGAAAGCGAAATGGAGAAGCGAACAGCAGTGCCGAGCTGCGAGGCGTGGCTGTACTGTAGGCCGCCACCCTACACAGCGGGGAAGAACCAAGCACGGTGGCAAGCCGCTTATCGCACGTGAGGGCCGCACCTACAAGGGCGCAGATGGGGTGAATATGGTGCCGTGCTTGGAACGACACGGCAGTGGCTACCTCACGAGCCCACTGCAAGCCACACATTCATTTCTGGCCGGCCCAGACGTAGGAGGTTTAACGCAGAACAAGGCTCTGAACCGAGTGTGGCAGGAAGGCACTATGGCGTGGCTACAAGCGGAAGGAAACTGGAGGTGGCGGGGGGGGGATGGAAGCGGATGGGACAAGAAGCATGGGGACAGCAACAAAGGACAAAAAGCCGGACGGCCAGAAACCCGGACCGACAAGCAACCGAAAACGACAGGAGCAACGAGCGACGATGCAAACAGCGTGCAAGATGCATAAACCCTCTTTTACGACTGGGGGCGAAACAGCTCGACTGCATCCCTACGGACCACTATGCGCCCCTCCGCACTTAAAGCGCGGATGGCCCTCGTCAGAACGATGGGAGGCCAGTCGTCAGCAACCGTGGGAGCCCAAGCTCGCAGTTCCTGGAGAAGAGAGTCGATGGAGATTAGATCGCCACCCTCCAACTGCCGGAGGAGCCACCGTCGCACTTTGCGAGTTGGGAGTGACGATGCCGCAGTTGCTCCGGAGCCAGCCCCCGGGTTGCAGTGCAATGCAGAGTGGCGCACTTGCTGCAGAAGGTTTGCACCCAGCGTAGGAGGGGGATGTCGACGTGGAGCTGCAGCTAGACTTGAAGCCCACGCCCACCAACAGTCAGGACAGAGACGGATGTTTACGTCACCCGCTGCAACGTAGGAAGGGTGCGCACCGGAGTTCCAGCGGCAGCTTCCCCGATTGTGTACAACCGTGTTGCATGAGGCACAGACTGGGCCAACCTGGCCACGACACCAAGGGCATGGGTTGGCCGGCGAGTCCCAGGAAGGGAGGCAAGCACCTCTACAGGTCCAGCAAGCTACTATGCAATCAAGGTGTGCAGGAGGTGAACAGCGGCAGGGCACTGCAAGGGCGGCGACTGCATCCGACCAAGTTGGCCTCGGTAGGCCCCAGTGAGCATTTCCGGCGACAAGGAAGGCCCCGCCGGAGTCCAGTAGCGCTTGCGCTAAGGCTGGTTCGCGCACACGCTGGCAGGGTGCTGCTGCTGCTCGCAGTCGTCGCACTGCCACTTCACAAGGATGGAGAGCCCAGCGGATTTCTCGCACGAGAGCAATGCCTGGAGGAGATGCTAGCCGCTAGCCAGCGCTGCAAATCACGAGTAGGGGGGTGGATCTGTGCATGTGGAGCTTGATCCCCCTCTCCGGGAGGGGTTGGATCGGCGAGAGATATGCCTGCAAGATGGATGAACGCCGAAAGTCGTACCTGATAGGCACTCCGCACATATCGCAAGCCTAGCACAAGCCGCTGAGTGAATTGGATGGCCGGGAGCGCCCTACGCCTAGACACCGACAGGATGCGAAGCTCAGACTGGAGAGCCGACGATTGCCGCAGGGTGGCATATTGCTCCAGCTCTTGATTGGCCATCGCTTCCAACTCGGGGGGGGACAGGTGGCAGATAGCAGCGCCCAAAGCTTTTGGGAAGATACCGCGGTAAGCAAGATCGGACCCCGTCTCCCGAGAGCATGCGGTTGCACTGCTGCCGTTGACATCCTGGAAGAGCGCGGTTTCACGCTGCGGAATGGAGACGAACCAGCGCCAAGCCGTCAAGATTGGCCAACGTCGCGATGCTTCGGGGCCAGGGTCAGCGGGTATACCGCCTGGTGTGTGCTGCAGCGAAGCTCTCCACCGAGCCGCCGCTTGCTGGTGAGCATCCGGGCCTACACCCGCTGCGAGCTCCGCTTCAATGTCATCCCGTAGGGAGTTGACAAGGGGGGATAGCGCTGGGCACCCCATGATAGCGTGCCTCGGAGTGCCAGGCGCAGATGCACACAGTGGGCATGTGCGGGCAGGGGGCCATCCTGCTTGTTCCGCCCATGTGTTTGCCGTGAGTGATTCTGACTGGCTAACATGGAGCCTTTCCGTCCAGGCTCCACCGATGGCCCGGTGCAAGCGAAACGAAACAGCTGAAAGGTCTATGAGGAGGGGGTCGCCTGGAAGAGCCCATCGCAACCACGCAGGGGGGAAGGTGCATTGAGTGTGAAGAGACGGGTCGAGTGAGGGAGTGAATACTTGGTTGGCCACTCGAGGCAACAGTCCCTGGACGGGACGCTCGCTCCAAGCGGCTTCACTCTGACCCCGTTGCACCTGGCGGACGCATTGGCGAATGGGGCCAGTAACCATGCGGCCATCCAGGTCAACCCATGCGAAGGATCCGCCTGTTGGCAACCGCACGTCTGGTGGCGCAGTGCTGCGGGTATGCGCCGAACAGCCCGCATCCTGTGCTTCATTGCCCTGCGTTAACACAGGGAAGGGAAGTGAAGTGGCCGTCTGGTGGCTACGAATGTCTACACCTACGACACCATCTTCAGCGAATGCAATTTGAGAGAATACTCGCTGGCGGCCGTCAACCGGCAGTTGGATATTCCACTGGTGAGGAAAGCGCTGCTGATGCAGCTTCCAAGAAGGTGTGGGTGCAGAGCCCGACCAGGAGTGCCGGAGTTCTTCGAGAACGTGCTTGAGCAGCACCACCAAGGGAGAGCACTGCGAGGACAGAAGTCTGGAAACTGAACCGGCGACTGCGACCCGCATAGTGGAAAACAGAGCACTGCGGTCGAAAACTAGGAGGTGCCACTGGTCTTTACGGCGAAAGCGTAACGCACAAACCAGGCAGAGCAGTTCGGCGGTGTGGATGGAGGTGGACTCCCATCCGAGGCGATGGGGGAGCTTGCATGCTAATTGTGGGGAGACCCAAGCTGAAGAGTCCCAGTACCCCCCCAGCCGCCCGAAGCTACGCGCTTGGCAAGCGAAAGTGGCACCGGATAGCTTTGAGTAGCCGCCATCGCCATAGAGAGCCTGGTCATCCGAATCCGCGGGTGTCGGCAAGATGGACAGCAGCAGGCGGGAGCGTGGGTCGCAGCGCCAGTTCCATGGGTCCTCCCATGCTTCTTCTGACCACTGCTCGGCGATGTAATCCGGAGGAGTGACGTGGAAAAGGGAACACTCCGTGGTCCAGTCTTGTTGAGACTGGGCACAAGCAAGAGAGGCAGCTCTGGCACATTCAGCCGGAGAAATGGGAGCGTGCTGGGGCAAGGCGCGACTCCAGAGGGCAGGGTCGTGCCAAGCCGCGTGCGGGCCGTGCTGGAGCAGGATATCCATCCAGGCGGAGCGTATTGAGTTAGCAAGCAAGCCAAACCTACAATAACGAGCAGCAGCATCAAACATTGCGGGCACGAAGCTGCCCACTAGTGACTGCGGCACTACAGTGTTGAGGTTGTCTAGCACACGGGCCACGAACCGGTCAGTGGCAAAACTAACGTAAAAACCATACCCTGCTAGAAACCTCATGGCATCGGTTAGGGTGCCAGCGTGTCTGGGCAGCTCCTCTGCCGAGCATACGAGGGCTTGACGAAGGGTGTCTCGCGCCACAAGAGAAGCAGGCGCCGTGCCGTTGAGCAAACTAACAAGATCCGCTGCCACTGCGGCTACGAGAAGGTCCGTTAGCAGGGGAGCCCCTAAACCACCCACTTTTCGCGATGCTGACACGCTGACGTGCTCAGCAGTGATGCGAGTGCCCAAACTGGACAGAAGCAGCCGGTGCAGAGCTGCATCCTCCTGATGGAGCGTTGTAGGAGGCGGTATGCCTATGAGCGGAGCATAGCCAAGAATCCCGCCAATGATCATTTGGATCATGGCCAACCCTTCATCCCATGAGCAACATTTGCAAGCGATGCGCTGTCGGACTGCCGCAAGCTTGTCAACGAGGTCTTGGGAAGCTAGGGAATGCCGGTCCATTGGTGTGCCTCTCTTGCCGAGTAGGACGTCTACTTGGTCGGCTTGGGAGCGAGGGAGATTGTAGCGCTGCACGCCTCCGGCCCAGATGTTCCAACTGGCTACGGACGCACCTGCTGCGTTCAAGCCTGGGTGTTGCAGACGGGGTAAGGTATCGTCCCAGTCCGTCGCGAAAGCGGAGAACTTGGACCAAGCGAAACCAACACCTGTAGCAGCGCTACCAACAGCGAGAGACTGCAGGATGGCTGGCAGATCCTGAAGGCCATCCCCATAGTGCTCTATGTCATCAACATATCCAGCGGCAGGGACACGCCGGGCAGCGCTCGTGGTGTAAGCAGCACCGTCACATGCCCGGAGGCGGAGCAAGGGGTCTTGGGCAGTCCGCGAAAGTTCAGGCGACGAGACTGCACCCTGCGGCACACCGCGGGTGACCTCGAGGGGCTGAGTAGGGCCTGAACGCGTGTCCAGCGTAACCCTTAGCTTGCCGAACAGCGAGCAATGGAGGCGGCGGACTGCATCCGGGATACCCCGTCCTTGCTGTACAGCGTCAATTTGCGGTAGATTGAGAGTGTTAAAGAACTTCTCATAGTCGGCAGGAATGCGGAGAAGGGGACGGTGGTGCCGACGAGCGTCCTCACACACTAACGAGTCCAAGTAGAGGACTTCTGTAGCAGCCGACACTCCCTTGGTGTAGGCCCGATTCAACACGGAGAAGGGGGTGTCCGTGGACCAACCAGTGCGAGACAGGGCCAACCTTTCAACGACCGGGGCTTCGATGGCTTTCACGTGTTCCTCAATCGTGGAGAGTGGGCGCCATCCGCCGGAAGGTTTAGGGAGGTGGAGCTGGTCTGCACGCAGGAAAGTAGCAGAGACAACACCAGTCAGGCGCTGCAAATCCACAGCGTGCCAGAACGCGGATTGGAAGACACGTGGAAAAGCCTCGATGAAACACAATTTCCAGCCGCTTGGCCCTGGGCGGGAGTGACGAAAGCGAGAAGTGAGAGCTGCAGTCTCCGCGGGAGATGCGCGGCCCACTAGGTCATAAGCCGGGGGCTCCGCAATGCGCATCACCAGGAAACTGGAAGGAGGAGGCCAGCTGAGATGATCTGGAGTGATGTGTGCTGCGGGGATGTCGCGCAAGGACATTACACGGAAGAGGCGGCCCGGGCAGGGCTGGGGACGAGATGCATACCAGCCGTCTGGCCTCCAGCATAGGACCCACTCCCCCACCCGCACGCAGTCCAGGCCCACAGTGAAGCCTACATCGGCGGCCTGGAAGTGCACCAAACGCCAAGGACCAGGTGAGAGGAGGGCTTGTCCCACGCGTTGAGTGTCATGACCGGTGGGCGCATCGCCTATGTTGACGAAATGCATGGCTCCGCGTGGTTGACAGTAGGAGTCAAGGAAGGGCATCACGGAGGCATGATGCCATGCTAGAGGCGGCTGTTGCAATAGCTTCGCCCATTCCTGAGTGGCCCCGACTAGCACATCTGCAGCACTGCCGGGGCGATGGCGTGAGCCGTCACCGGCAGTCACCCACTCAGGAGAATACCGGGCCTGTGGCAAGGAGGGCGGTTTCATGCGAGAGGCCCAGGCTTTGGAATCGCCACGCCTGAGTAGAGAGATGCGTTGTTGGCGAGAGGAGCGGATGCTCCTTCGGGTAGCCGCCGATTGACGGCTTGCGGCGTACGCGATGCAATTGTCTAGGAGTTGAATGCCTCCAGCTGGAGGGGCGGACGGTGGGAGTGAAGACCAGGACGGGGCTGATGGAGCCGGATCTGCGCGGGTTTCGCGGGTTCGTGAGGGGTGTGCTGTTGTTGGGGCGGATAGAGCGGCGATGGTAGGGGGAAAACCAAGGCGTGTGGCCCAAGCAACCCGAGCAGTGGAGAATCCGTCCCAGTCTGGAAGGGGGAACTCGGGCCGCGACGTTTCCGAGGCTTGCAGGTGGGCTTCCATGTCGGCAGCTTTTTGCCAGAGGCGGTGCCCTTCGTCAAGCGAGAAGCACGACAAGATGAGGTCGTGGCCGAGGCGAGGGATGGCATCCCTGATGGCCTGCCGGACTCGTTTGAGTTCAAGGAGGCACGCATGCCATGCCGCAGCAGCGAGGCAGTCACGCCTGTTTACAGGGGGTGCCACGGGGGGGAGGCAAGAAAGGAGCACTGACATGACACCATCCACGCCACCGATTAAACGGTCCTGAAAACAATCAGGCACCGTGAGAGCTGGGGCCCCTAAGAAACCGTCCAACCCTTCCGAAGCCGGTTGTTGAATCGTATGCCACTGGGACTCGAGAGCGTTTAACTCAGCTGCAAGCTGGGCAATTTGGTGTGAGTGCTCCTCGGCTCTCATTGCAACGGAGGTTGGAAGATCCCCATCCAGCCTACGGACTAAGCTGCGCCACGGTGGCGTAATAGATTGGGAGATCGCCATCTCCGGCAGGTGCAATGCGAGGTCCACTAGCACCGGATCATGGTCAACTCTACGGTCCCACTGCCAAAGGATGGCTGCGTTGAGGAGCTGAACTTCTACTTGTGGGCAGGGCAGCCACCATATGGAATCAAGACGGCTGGCAGAGCCGGCTTGAGAGTAGAAGGTAAAAGCTCTCAGGCGGGGATGACGGGACCTGAACATGTCCTGAAGACCACATGCGACGCAGTGGGAGGCTATTGACTGGCGTACGAGATAATGTCCTCCCCAGCTGTCCAAATCAACATCGGCAAAGGAGTTGAGGTCACCTCCGACCACAAGCAGCTGTTGCAGCTCACCGGCTTTGTGCGCTTGTTGGTCTATGAAGTCTTTGAGGGCCTGTTCATCCGCAATGTGCTGCGGGCTTCCCACGCCGAATTGTGGGAGACAAGCACCGACAGGACCATAGAGCGCGAGAAACCGAACATCAATGCCACTGTTAGTGTGCAGGACGGCCGAGACAGCCCGACCTGATGGGTCTTTGGCTACATCCGTCCAGCTACCCGAGTAACCTGAACGGACGGCGAGGATGACACCTGACCCAGCAGCTGCATAGTCTGCAGGGCCGTTGCGAGGACGTCCGTGACTGACAGCGTGGTAACCGCACGAGAGGAGGCCTTGGCAGGCCTGGGCATGTTGTGCATCTCCCTGGAGGGCAGTTTCCGACAGAATTCCGACATCAGCCCCCAGGGTGCGCAGACCTTGACCATGCCATAGGCCCCACTGGAATCGATCTCGACCCGTGCTGCCACACTGGATTGTCGCGATCCGAAGAGTTTTGGAGCCTTTCCACGTGATGTCATCCCCGAGGCATTGCCCGACGATGTCTGGCATGGGATGGCGTTGCCCCACGTCGAGGCGCAAGCGCGCCTCAGCACCATCCACCTCGTGGCGAGGTGTGTCGGCGCCAGATGAGGAGGAGCTCCCGCCATCGTCAAGAAGATCCATGCTCGAGGAGTGGGTGCCCTGCTGCTGGGCGAGTTTGGAGCCTAAATGCCCGCCGGACGGGCGCAGCATGCGCTACTACTGGTGCATAGAGGCATTGAAAACAGCACCGTTGCCTACGGAAGGCGGGCTACTGCGGAAGAACGCCTTTCTGCGGTAAGGACCTGCAATGCGGAGCGGGGTGAACCGAAAAGACAAATTGCGAGAGGCGGGAGAACCTATACAACTGCGGCCTCAAGTTTCTGAGAAAAGCCATGCTCGATGGCAGAGAGGGCCCGGCCGCACTCAGAGCACCATCTCATTACACTCCGGGCAACGGCCCCGAGAGCGAGGTGCTTCAAGCCAACGCTCGAGGCAGTCAGAGTGTACGACGTGGAGGCACTCCAGCCGCACCAGCTTGTCACACGCGAGGATGTCACCCCGGCAACAAACACATGTCCAGCCCTCCTCCAATGTGCCCGCTGTGAACTCGACCAGGCGGAGTCCTTTGAAGATGGAAGGTCCAGAGCCGTCGGGTGGGTTGGGTTCCGTAGCTGGGCACGAAGAGGTTGGGTTGGTTGGGGCGACGTTCCCTGTCAGGTCGTCAATTGGGGCAGGTAGCGCTGGTGGCACGGCTTGCTGGGCGAGCGAAATTTTGAGGGTACCTACCGGAGAGGCCAGCTTGGTGCGACCTCGCTTATCCTTTCCCGCTGCTGGCTGGATCTCTTCCAAGATGCGGCCGGCAAGACCTGGTATGGCGAACGCGGCGTGCGACAGGAAGAACGCCGGTATCGTGGGAGCTTCGCCTGGTTTGTGCGAGCTGGAAGCTGGGCTCTAAACCAGCGAGTGAAGGCGAGAGCTCCGCCACATGGCTCAACAAGGCTTCCAGTTGGCTGAGGTTGGGGCGCCGGGGTAAGCCGACGATGTGTAGCCCTGCCGGCAAGCGCAACTTGGGCGAGGCCGCAAGCTGCACAGTGGCCGGCGAGGGAGGGCTAACCGAGGTGGTGTGAATCGCACGCTTTCCCTTGGCCTTGCCTTTGAGGGTCGTCCCGGCAGGTGCCGCATGTGACCGAAATACGGTGAGCGGTGCTGGCCGGCTTGGAGTGCCAGAATTCCGGGAAGCGTGGCCACCATTGGACGGGCATGACGGGCGAGCCGCCCTCTTTGGCATCAGCCCTGGTTTGGAAGGTGTGGCCCTGGTGTTCGGTGTCCGGCGGACACTGCGCGAGCGAGAGGGGCCACGGCCTCCACGCGGAAGCGAAGTGCGAGACGATGGCATACGGGACCGTGCCGGAGGTGGACCGGAGCCAGCTCGAGGACGAGGTGATGGAGGACCACCAGCGATGTCCCGATTGATGCCGTCAAGCGTAGCTGCACCAATGGCTCCCGTAGCGAGTCTGGGAGGTGCAGGACGATAGCGGTCGGGATCAGCACGCACTGGGTGTGGATGCGGGGCGGGACGAGCACGAGCAGAAGGATGCCCAGTGTGGGCGCTGGCCAGACCCGCCCGTGTTACTCCACGAACCCGAGAACGCTGAGGACGAACACGGAGAGGATTGCGGCTGTCAGCTCTACATACCGCTGGCCGTGGGATGAGCCCCGGGTTGTCAGGCTCCAGTGGTGAAGGAGCCCGAACCGGCCAGCGTGGAGGGCGAGGAAGACCTGCTGGTGTTGAGGGGCGCAGGGCCTGCGGAGCTGACAATGGCGCTGCCGTGCCAGTAGATGGATGGCCGGCATCAGCCTCTGCAAGGCCGGCCGGAGGGAGCAGCGCGTGGATGCTGCGCTCGGCAAGTAACAGCCCCATGCGCACCGCGCGGCGGGCATCCTCTTGCCAAGATGGGTCCATTGCGGCCACGGAGCGAAGTCGACGAAAAGTAAAAACGTGAGGCAATGTATCCAAGACTTGAGAAGGAAAGAGGATCCCGGTACGTGGGTTTGCGACTACAAGCTCCAGACAATGCATCAGGCACAGCGGTCAACATGTGCATGTCCGATCAAGACGAGACGACTGACCTCACAGGACAACAGGGTGAGGAGGAGGAGGAGCGGGGGCACGAGCGAGCATGGCAATAGGGCGGGGCGAGGACGTGCGAATTGAATGAGCTAGTGAACGAAGGAAGTGAAAGGAGGAGGATTAAGAGTAAGAATGAGGTGTGGCACTGTCGCCCTGACGGAAGGAATACGGGCGAGGGGGGGGTGCTCATCGGCGGAAGGTGCCTTAGTGCCGCCCCCGGTGTCCCGCCCACCTCGGCAAGACCCCGTAAACCTTGCACAAACCGTCAGAACCGGGGGGGACCCTAATATAATTCCCTAAGTAGTAGGGAACCCTATTATAAGGACCCCAAAATAAGGTATCCCTCATTTTTGTTTCAAGACAGCGAACAAAGCCCCTCACAAAACCCGATACAACCCATAAAAGCCAATACAAAAGCCTCCCCCCTTCGAAGCCCTGTGCTTCGGTTGATGATATAAATCCTGCATTACCTTAATGAACCTAAAGTATGGGAAATATGGTAAATTCCTTATTGTGGGTAGTGCAGGATGTATATCATCAACCGTTGCGCCTATGAAGACCCGATGGGTTCCCGGCAGAGGCCCGCCGTCTTCCTTGGCCTTGGCGCGCATCTGCGCGACCTTCCGGAAGAGCGCCTCCCGAGAGCTTTATAGGGATTCTTAAGGCTTTGGGTTTTGGCGCTGAGAGTTCAGGGATTACAGGGAGCTTCTGAGGGATGTGAGGCTTCTGTCCTAGGCCCCCCCCCCCCCCGAGGTTTAGACTTCGATCCCGGGCTTATAGCTTGGGCTCGCAGGGCCACGGCCTTGTTGACACCCTCCGGGTACTCCAATGCCTGCCCGCGTCGCAGCCAGCTAACTCTGGCGCGAGTCTTCTGAAGCAACGACGCAACGCCAGCACCGTGGCTTTGGGGGAGTCGGCGTGGAGCAGACTTCGGTGGGACAGGAAACCGGTCGCCTCTCCCGGATCCTTGATCTCTGCCCCCTACTGTCTTCCCTCACATCCCAGATAGCGACAAAACTTACATCATGACCAGCACATACCAGCACCTACATCATCCGCATCATCCACAACATCGTCATCATCATCGACCTCTGTTAGAGCCCCCTTGTAAAGGCCAGGCAGGCCTTCGGCTTGTTCAAGGCGGCTTTGGGCCGCGGCTTCATCAAAACAAACCTTCGCGGCGGTGCAGGCCAGGCCTTGCTACTACTACTACTACTACTACTACTACTACTGCTACTGCTATTACTACTACCACTACTACTACTACTACTACTACTACTACTACTACTATTCAATTCAATTGAACGCTGTGCGAGCGGGCTCAGCACATAGCGGGCGATTGCCGCGGTGCACTCACATGGTGTGAAACTGACTCAGACCCTATAGCTGAACAGCCCTGGTCGAAGACCTTTGGGTGTTGGCGGCCTACAGGCTTCAAGCTAACTGGCAGTGGTCAGCCGAAGCAAGTTGGTAGGCTGCCAGGCTTCAAGCTTCAGATTGTTGTGTGTACCTGAGCGAGGATAGTGATTATGCAGCACTAGTTGCAGAGGCACAGTTCTGCGACTGGCAGAAGGCGAGGCATGTTTTTCTCTGACAGCGGCGGCAATCAGCAGAAAGGCCGTCAGTACGTGCCGGAAGAAACGAAGTATAAGTGCAGGCATGGCCTCCGCATTTCGCTGTATAGGTTGCCATTGGCACCGGTGATCAAAGTTGGGGCTCACTGGTGCCAGGAGCGGCTGTCACTGGCCCCCGAGTCCGAGCCACGATTCCACCACCCTCCTCGGGTCCAGGCATCGCCGTCTCTGTAGCGCTTGTCTGTGTGAGACTGTGTCTCTTCACCAGAGCGCTTGTCTCGCTGTTCCCGCTGCTCACGTAGCTCGCGTTGGCGATGCCATTGGTATGTGGGCGTGTCGCCCTTGTTGTGTTCGATGCGGAGCTTGCGGACAACGTGTCCATCCCGAGGCTGGTAGAAGATGGCGCGATTTTGACCACCACTCTTCCTGGAGGACTGGTCATAGATGCACTTGAAGGTGGAGGCCACGATCTCGAAGTTGTCATCCGTTTCGAGCAATGCGCTCATGTCCGGATGATCCCACATTTTCTGAAAAAGGGCGTGCACTATGCCATAGTAGGTCGTGGTGGACTTGAGCTCGGTGTAGCGATCATCTTGGCCAATGGATAGTGTGAATTGGCCATTGGCCCCGACCATAAGCCGCGCTTGCGTGATGTCAAGCCAGTTGGCATCCTTGTCGGTGGCGACCTTCTTGATCGGGGCGAAGATCCATGGCACCTTGCCCAGTGCTCGAAACCTATTGGTCCAAAGGTAGACCTGCTCAGAGGCCGTGAGGACTACTACTACTACTACTACTACTACTACTACTACTACTACTACTACTACTACTACTACTACTACTAGTAGCTCGATCGCACTGCCGCTGTGAGGCACCACGGCCTTTCGGTGTCTTGCACAAAGGCATCGGAAAAACAGGAAGGATGTCGAACGCACAACGAAGCTACTTTGGAACGACTGGGAGCTCATGCTCGTGGAGTGAGGATGGGCCTGACCCAGACACAGAAAGAAAACACAGACGTCTTTGGACGTAATCTCTGAGGCAGACGCTGGTTCGACACGATCTTGCCGTTGTGAACCTCTCAAGCCGCTTGCTGGACACAATTAGAAGGGCTTGGGCCCCAGGAATGCCCCGAAGCCGTCGAAGCCGGAGAAGTTACGGCTAGGGAAGACGTGTCGTCCTTATCATGAGGCAGTAAGCAAGCGTGTCTCAAACTGCACCAAACTCGTTGCGGCCTCAGCGTTGCAGAAGCTTTGGCTCAGTCAAAAAACTCTGCAAGCCCTGAGCAATCCGATGCATTTATGGGCCATGCTTCCGACACCGTTCCGCGCCCACTCTACTCCTTTCGTTAGGAAGAACCTGAGAGCTCAGTACGCCTTCAGAAAGAAATGTCATTGCCCGTAATCTAACTCGTCTACCTGTTCAAGAAATTGTCTATAAGCAGAGGGTATCGGACTTTTCGGGTAGCAGTTCGCCCGCGCGGACGCGCTCCAATATGCTCAGGGCGTTGCATAATACAGTCTAAAAGGCTACGAGGAAAAACTCCACATCAACCCCAGGTCACGACGCTCAAACCGAATTCCGAAAAGCCGAACTCCAGAGGCAAGGTCACGACGGCAAGTGCTAACTTCTAAGCCCGAAGAGTGAAGCTCTACATCAACTCTGCCCCAAGACCGATACCGCACCAGAACGCCCAGTTTGAGGCCCCCTAAACCAGGGCCTTACGGAACCCTTCAAAGGAACCGCCCCCCAAAGAACCCCATCAGCCTTGAACTCGTTCAAGAGGTTTCGGTAGTTCATTCTCAAGTCGATCATGGCCGGGTTCGATCTGGAGGTTTGGGGGTTTAGGGTTTCGGGTTTAGGGCTTCGGGGTTTAGGGTTTAGGGTTTAGGGCTTCGGGGTTTAGGGTTTAGGGTTTCAGGTTTAGGGTGGATCTGGCGACCCAACTCGGGGCTTTGGACTTCTGGGTCTGAGCGCTTACCCCGGAAGTTCATGCTTCGGTGATCACACTCGGACAACCCAGGCGAGTTAACTTAGGGTTCAGTGTTTGCGATCAGGATTGTGAAATTTAAAGACATGTGCCATACTGCTCTCACATTTTGGAAACTTTGGCCCTGTCGACATCTGGAGATGCGGTTTTGGATGCTGGTCGGGGTTTCAGCGCTGAGAGCAAGCACGCAAATCTTGTGATTGTTATTCTCCCGGGTAAGGCATGAATGCTAGCCAAAAAAACCTGAAATCCAATCCTCAACGGTTTCGGGTTTAGGGCAAATCCTGCACCCTTCAGCAAGCTCAGGCTCGCACACCTGGGCCTACGGCCAACGCTATGCGATTTTGCCCCGACACTACACCTGCCATTACGATTGCAGGCATGATACCCCAAAACCCGATTCTAGTTAATAGGGCCTCAATACTAAATCCATACAATCTTGTGCATGCCGCCTGACATCCTGAATCCTCAAAGAAACCCAAAGAAGAGGCCCTTCAAGGACCCCCAAAATGCGCCTGACATCCCTGGAAAACACGCATAGAGGACCCTGAAAGGACCCTCTCCCCGCACGCGCCTGACATCCAGCTTCATGCGCTTCCCGTAGACCCGCGTGACCCCGAGTGGGAGGCTCTCCCGATCCACCGTCGAGAGGTCGATCCTTGGCTTTAGAGGTTCAAGGTTTCTTGGGTTTGGCATGGTCTAGTGCCTAGTGTCCAATTTTTTTGTTGAAATATGTTGAAATATACTGGCTGTTCTCGGTTTGAGTCTTGAAGGCTTGGAGACTGCTTGGAGCTTCCGTGCCGTCCATGCCATGTGGCCTGAGGCATTGGCGTGGATGCATTCTGGGACAGAGAGCTTCCCAAGTTGGACTTGCCTGAAATGGCAGTCTGCCGGCAAGGAGAGGTCCGGTCAGCGAAGCCGAACAGCACCTCGACATTATCATAATTTGCCGGGCAAACCTTTCTCCTCAAACTAATCCGAACTCTGGGATCCTGCCTATCGAGGCTACACCCCTCACGTTCCACAAATCTGAATCTCGAATCCTCGATCCTCGAACTGACGTTGGGACGGCCTGTCGAAAGCGACGGCCCAGAAATGCTCCGGTTCATGTCCGCACCGTGGAACCTCAGTGCTTTATCTTCACCCTCGGCCGTTCCGGTCAAAAATGCACGAGGAATCACACTTCAAGGCAGGATTCAGGGGCCCGTGGGTCCATCTGCAAGGACTAGATGGGCATAGCTTAGGCCCTGAACCATCCCCCCTGAAGCCCGAACCTCCTCTCAAACCCTCGACCTGGGGCCCTGGCCGGTCCTAAAACGTCATGCGAGCCGCCAGAAGTTTAGGGCTCAGATAGAGTCAGGACTTCTTTCAGGTTGTTTACAGTTCCCGAAACGTTTCGGTTTTCGCCAAGCATAAAGCACGTAGAAGGTTCTCGCCGAAGAATAGAGATGAAGTTCCCATAGTTTAACGGGAGGTTCTGGTTGCACAGATTTTGACA